CCACTCCCTTGAAACCGCCCTCTTTACCTTCGATCGTGCCCCGTTTGGGGTCTATCTTTCTCTTACCTGTAACGTGTATTTCGCGCAGCCCCTGAAACAGGGGAAGAGAGGACGGATGGAAGGAAGGGACAAGGGAAAGGAAGGAGGATGGAGTACCAGAAAGGGTAGCAGGAGAGGGGCTAGGAGCAGAACGCACGTGGCAGAACCAGACGGGCAGATCGGGCGGGTTGCTGAAGCGTGCGCCTTGCATGAATAACATGGACGTCTCGAGCGATAGCGCGATTCTTCAATAGATCGTGAGAGATCTACAGCGAGAGCGTGAGTTCTTAGTGACGAGGGCGCGGCGTCTGAATAAATTGTAAGGAAGTCCCACGCGAGAGCGCAGTTCCTGTGTACATTGTGAGGAAGTTCCGCGCTAGAGCGCGAATTGGGCATACGTTGTGAAGAAGTACCAGGCGGGAGCCGTTGTTGTTGTACCTTGGGGGCCAGGGGCCCAGTTTGGTGGTTTGGTGACCCCACACTGTCCCTTGTAAACAACTGGATGCGAGCCGCGCAAGGAGCACGTAAAGAACAACAGTACACCGGCTACCGGAAGAGACGACAGTAATGATTATTCTTTAGGAGTGAGAACTCAACCACAACAACAGCAACATTAACAGCGCTCCTGCTCGATGATTCCCACCAGGGTTTGACCTGAACGGTGTCTCGGCGATTTCGTTGGCCGTGTTCGATTCGATTTCGTTTTGCAGCGGAGGCGGATTGAGGACAAAACGAGGGAAACCGAAAAACAACCAAAATGACAAACATTACTTAGGTCTATCCCTGATTCCTACCTTTTTTACTCGGCAATGGGACCCTCTCGTCTCGGCATCGCCTCTGGAGGATTTCTGGAAGGGCCCCAGAGGGCCCGAAAGGATTTCGGCGAAGGCCTCCGAAGGCCCCGAAGAGGTGCATAACAGATCTCGTGAGCGCCCCAAAGGGCGGCCCAACAGAGCCCCAAGGCAGCCCAAGACACCGAACACACCCACACACGCACACACGCACACGCACACGTACACACACATGCACACACATGCACACGCACACACACACACACACACACACACACACACTTTGGCGTCGCGGCCCCGCGCGCGGCGACGGGGCGTAGAAACACACGCTCACACGCACACACGCACGCACGCACGCACGCACGCACGCACGCACGCACGCACACACACACACACACACACTTGCACTCGCACACGCACACGCAAACACCCACACGCACACGCACACGCACACACAAACACCCACACGCACACGCACACGCACACGCACACGCACACGCACACGCACACGCACACACGCGCACGCGCACGCGCACACGCACACGCACACGCACACGCAGCCCAGGAAGGCCCAAGAAACTCTCAAGAGGACCTCCTGCATTACACGACTTCTTAATATGCCCACGGGCAGCCCCAGACGGCCCCAGCAGCGCAGCCTCCAGGATAGCCCCTAAAGTTCCTAAGGACCCCCTCAGATTCCACTTCCGTTCGTGCTCCTCGCCCCCTTGAAAGCATCGAAAGGCGCGAGCTCGGTTCTCTGTAGTCTTCCCCGTCACCGCTCTCACACCTGCTTTGATTCTGTTGATGGGTTGTGCAATCTGAAATCTGAAGGTCGTGAAATGCCTCGGGAGAGGTGTTCGCTCGATTTCTTCGGGCGAACACTTGGCCCCTGATGCATGACATAAGCTCTCCATAAGGAGGTCTGTCATGACGGATGCACGTTGCATGTGTAAGCATTGGACATTATTGTGAAGTAGTTTAGTTCGGATGGTTGATGATCAATTGTTGTTGATAATACCACCCGTGCCCGTTGTGTTTTCACCTCAAGTGTCCCCCCCAAGGGTTCGCACCTGGTGTTTTGCCAGGGGAAGTTTTGATGCTGAAAATATGGAACCTGTCTAGAAGCCCCTGTCCGCCCGACCCGCCCGTCAAGGTCCGTTTTCCCTTCCCTTTCTGTTAAATCCTTTTCATCTTCAATCCTCCAACGCCTTGTCTTGGCCCAGCTGGGCCATTCCTACGGTGTCGATAGCTTGGGGCGTTTCCTCGAAAAGTATTCGACCGATCACTGTTTCAGAAATTACGTGCTTGGGGTCGGGAAGGGAGGCCAAGTTGTGGAGATTGTTTCGCCATCGCCAGGTTCGTGAGATTGGTAGGGACCGTTTTGATAGTGTTGTCGTGTCTTCTGCAGGCATCCGTTCGCATCGTGACAGAGTTTGATACGTTCCTGGTGCACGAGGATTCTTGGGGCGTGGTGTCCCACGAGAATTCGTCTCAGCTGCAATCCGCCTCCGCAAATCCCCGAAGGGTTCGATCCATATCTTCGGTTGCTGCACTGAGCAGATCTCCACGACGAGGGGGCTACACACGGGGGCTTTGACGGCGACGGCTCTTTCTAGATGTTCTATCGAAGCTACGTAGTGTGCTTGTGTGTTGAGAGAGGGGGCGCACACAAAAACTGGGGGTTCAGGTGTCAAGCTCGAGGTTGACGATAGCCTCGTGGAGTTACAACCTTTTCGCGTTCGGTGCGTCGGTCGAGGGAGCTATCGGCCGCATGTTAAAGTTCGAAGCCGTTCTGATGAAGACCCAGTCTCTCGACCTCAAGCCATGCTCGAAATGCGTGATCAAGGCGTCCCCACCTCACAGCCCTCCCAGGACCTCAAGGACTCAAACAGTTTCTCCTGGAAGCAGGTTCACGAGTTACGTGTCGTGGGACCTGTCTTGGAGGCTACGGGCTCGACCCAGGCTGATGTCGGAAAAGCGTTCGATGCCATCCTGAGTTGAGGGCTTGTTGGTCTAGCTCTAGGTTCCTTTGCAACCCCCTCATCATTCCCCCTGCCCGCCCGTCTATACTCGACCCCATTGCCTCTGCTAGTCGCCGCTCTCGGTCTGCGGCTTGGAGCCCTTCCAACTCTAGCATTCTGTCCCTGGACATCCTCCAGTTTAAGATCCTGGGTTTGGATGCTTAGGACCCGCAGGCGCCCCGACGAATCGCTTGCGCGGAGGTCTGCAAATCTCCCCCGCACTGCCATCTGAGACGTTTACTAGTGTTGCCAGAGGCTGAATAAACCTTGGGACCAGAACGGATGGACCACCGGTTGATCTCCAGAAGGATCCAGAGATGGATCCAGATAGATGTATTAAACGATTCGGCTGATAAGCTTCTCCCTGAATTCTGCTGGTCGTGAAAGGGCGGCATCTGTGTCTCTGGCGCTCTGCCAGGTTAGGTCTACGAAACCGTTTCGGGGAGCGTTACGTCATCTGCACCATCACCATCATCATTATCATCATCATCATCATCATCATCATCGTCATCATCATACTGATCATCATCATACTCATACTCGTTCTCATCCTCATAAGCATCATTCTCATCATCGTCATCGTCGTCATCATCATCAGTTTCATTGTCAGTATCATCATCATCATCTTCGCCATCACCGTCACCATCACCATCACCATCGTCATCACCATTGCCACCAACACCAAAATCATCATCGATGTCCTTCTTGCCCCCTCTCGTTCCCCCCCCCCGTTCACTCACTCTTTCTTTTTCCGTACATATATATAATACATGATTATGTTACTCCTTCCTCTTCCAGTTTAGGGGGGCGCCAATACACGTGGCAGGCGATGAAGATATACGATTTCTTCCCAGTCCACAGGGTATGCGATCGATTATGAAGACGGCGGGTATCGATGGTTCGTGGATACCCACATTGATTCACACGCGAGCAGCGAAGAGGGAGCAGTCTTAACCGGATCGAGCTCTCACTGCAGATGAACAGTTATTGTTGGTTTGCAGGCCAAGTGCCCATGATGTGTTTTCCCAACCATCTTGTGGTGTTGGGCCCTCCTTTTGAGACACAGCGCCCCGCGTTCCTCACTCCTTCCTCCTCCCTCTCCCCTCCTCCCATCCCTGCCTTTGCCCTCCGCATGTCGCTGTTTCGGTACACCCCGTTTCGTGAACGGGAGCTCCACCAAAGGCCCCAGTGGCAGCGCCCGCATGCAGTTCCACCCAGATCCCGGTGCACCCCTCACACGATTCGTGGCCTTATAGCGAGATCCACCCAAAGCCCCACTGACAGCGCCCCCTGAACGGTTCGGCCCCTGTTTCGGCACACCCCTCACACGTTTCGTGGCCACATGGAGAACTCCACCGAAGGCCCCAGTGGCAGCGCCTGCATGCAGTTCGACCCTCCATTCCGGAGTGCCTCTCATACGTTTCGTGGCTCCACAGGGAGCTCCACCGTAGGCCCTTTTGGCAGCGCCCGCATGCGGTTCTACCCTCTATTTCGGTGCACTTTTTCATACGTGCCCCACAGGGAGCTCCACCGAAGGCCCCTTTGGCAGCGCCCGCATGCACCCCCATTTCAGCACACGCGCATACGTTTCGCGGCTCCACAGGGAGTTCCACCGAAGGCCCCAGCGGCAGTGCCCGCATGCAGTTCCACTCTCCATTTCGGCGAATCCCTCACACGCTTCGTGGCCCCACAGGGAGCTCCCTCGACGGCCCCTTTGGCAGCGCCCGCATGCGGTTGCACCCTGTTTCGGCACACCCCTCATACGCTTCGTGGCCCCACAGGGAGCTTCACCGAAGGCCCCAGTGGCAGCGCCCGCATGCGCTTCCATCCTCATTCCGTTACACCTCTCACACGTTTCGTGGTCCCATTCTTTGCCACACATCGTTGTTATTTGTACGCGTTGATTTCGGGAGGCAGGAGGGGGATAGGGGAGAGAGGAGAGGCGGAGACGAGGAGGGATGAAGGACGACGGAGGAGGGGGATTGGAGGAGGAGGATGAGGAGGAGGAGGAGGAAGACGGACAAAAAGGGACGAGGGAAGCGTCAGAGGGGAGCAGGAGGCAAAAGGAGGAGGAGGACGAGGAGGAGGACGGATGCGTCAATTGGTCATCCGGGAGGGGGTGGTGGGGAGGGATGGAAGCGGCCGGAAGGATCGCTGGCCATGTCCGCTGGCGAGATCGACGATATGTCCGCCGCCTGAGGGCTGAGAGCTCTGCTGCGCTTGATCAGAGGGCTCCAGCCAGCGTGGTACTTGGCAACCCCGATGTTTCCTCCTCCTCCTCCTCCTCTGCTCAACCTCCTTTTCCCTTTCCTCTTTCTCCCTCCCCTCCTCTCTTCTTTTTCTTCTTCTTCTTCTTCGTCTTGCTCCGCGGCCTCCTCCACGAGTTCCCGTTTTCCTGCCCTACCTCTTCTTTTCCTCCTCTCGTCCTCCTCCTCCTCCTCCTCCTTTGCCTCCTCCTCCCTTGGTCTTTCTCCCAGAGTTGACGCTCCGCGTAATCCCGCCAGCCCATCCCGGGCGAGTTGCCTTCATCGGGGATGTGGAGGAGCATGCAGTTGAATACAGGCAGGGGGAAGCCGTCATAACACCCTAAGGGGGAGGATGGAGGAGGAATCGGAGGAGGCAAATAGGAGGAGGGGAAGGACGAGGAAAGGGAGGGATATGAGAATGAGCCAGGAGGGGAGACAGGACAAGGAAGAGGAGGACGCGGATGAGGAAGAAGAGGAGGAGGAGGGAAAACAACAAAGCCAGAGGCCTCTTGGAGGGAGAAGGATTGATAACATGTGTTGTTGCTGTTGTTGTTGGTGGTGGTTATGGTGTTGTTGTTGATGTTGTTGATGTTGTTGTTGTTGTTGCTCCTGCTACTGTTGCTCCTGTTGTTGCTGTTGTTGTTCTTGGTGATGTCGTTGAATCTTCGTTTCCAGAGAATAAGTATTGTTGATCTCCTGAACTGGTTCCGCGCGTTCTCGCCTCGACGCCGGCTACCTTCTCTTTGAAAACGAGGCTCCCGCGCGAGCGTTGGCTTGAGTGTAAATGTGGGCCCTTGGAGGCCCGGCTACAACGACAACGGCTCCCGCCCGATATTTCCTCACGGTTTACCTTGAGACACCCAGCCACGACGACAAGGGTTCTTGCTCGATACTTTCGCACGATTTACTCCGAGAGCCCCTGGCCAGGAAGGCCTCCGAACTCAGGGACGGCGCTCTCGCTCGAGACTTTCTCGTGATTCAGTCAAATTGGTGGAGGCCCAACTACGACGACAAGGGCTTTCGTTCGATATTTTCACAAGATGCATTCGCAAAGGCCCTTGCCAGAGAGTCCCCCGAACTCAAGTGTGGCGCTCTCGCTCGAGATTATCTCGTAGTCCAGGCAAGTTAGTGGAGGCCCAGACACGGCGACAAGGATTCCCGTTCGATATTTCTTCATATGTGTCCGAGAGGTCTTGGCCAGAAAGGCCCCCGAACTCAGGAGCGGCGCTCTCGCTCGAGAGTTCCTCGCACTTCAGTCAGTGGCCGACATGGAAGAAATTCCCCCCGAAAGGGGGTGCAATCGAAGACGACGTGGGCGGGCATCGAGGGGCCAGTATGGGCGAGCAGTCTCAAAATGATGATTATTGTTGGTGTTGTTGCTGTTGCTGCTGCTGTTACCGTTGCTGCTGCTATTGATGATGTTGGTGTTGTTGTTGGTGGTGGTGTTGCTGTTGGTGTTGTTGCTGTGGTCGGTGGTGGTGTTGGTGTTAGTGTTGTTGTTGGTGGTGGTGTTGTTGTTGCTGTTGCTGCTGCTGTTGCCGTTGTTGTAGTTGTTGTTGTTGTTGTTGTTGTTGGTGTTGTTGTTATTGTTGTTGCTGTTGGTTGTGGTGGTGGTGGTGGTGGTAGTGGTGGTGGTGTTCCCGTCGTTTCCATCATTTTCGGGTGATTGAATAGTTGTTCCGATGTTTTTGAATGTTTTGGGTTACGCTTGAATTCCTGCCTCTCTTCCTCCCTCGCTTCCCCCTCTTCCCTCCCCCCTTCGCCTCCTCCCCCCGGTTTCCCCTCGTCTTGGTCCTTGTCTCCTCATTCGGTGTTTCCTCCTCATCCTCATCGTCCTTATCGTCGCCAGCGTTGAAGTCCTCATCCTGCTGTTCCCTCTCCTCCTGCTTCGCCCGTCCTCCTCCCTTCCTTCTGCCCCGCAGTGGTCTCTGCTCCTGTTTTTTGGCGTGTTCACCGCATGCTTCTCGATCCCTTCGTGCACTGACCTCCAATTTCAGCCTGCACTGTGGCTGCACTGCAAACCTGCGAGCGCGTGTCACCCCCGGCTGTGAAAAGCTCGAGTGTGCTCTCCTGCCGATCGCCATCACTGATTCTGAGACCCCTTGCGGTCTGCACTCCTGATCGCCGAGAACGAGTACGATGACGAGGAGCAGCAGCAGCAGAAGCTGCAGCAGGATGGTCACAAGCAGCAGCGGGGAGATGAGCAGCAGGAGAATGAGGAGCTGCAGGAGCCGCTTCGACGCAGAGCGGAACGCAGGATTTATAGGCTCCGTTGGTTGGAGGGGGATTGAAGGAGGGAAACATGAATTGTAGCACGAGCTCAAGTTTCCAACAGGAAGAAATACCGCTACCGCGACCCTTCGCTCGTTGCAACGGCCAGACTCGCATCGAAGGTCTGGTCGGAACGCACCCCTGGAGAGGTCGGGGAGCGGCGGTATCGGTACGTGTGTGTCCCCCCAGCTTCCTAGTCGAGCGTGCGATAGCGATGAGCTCAGCCGGCGGAAGTTGAGCGCACCAGGCAGGCCAGGTACAGCTGGGGCAGGCTTGTGACGTTGCAGAGCTCCAGCGGGGGCTATTCGCCTGGAGTTGCGCGTGTGTATGTGTGTGTGGTGTTTGTGTGTGTGTGTGCGTGTGGTGCGCAGGGGGGGAGAGGATGCTCGATCGCAATTTGCAGTTCCATCTGCTGCCCGCGCTTGAGGACCCTCTGTGCCGCCGACTCGAAAAGTGTGTGGTGCGCAGCGGGCTGGACACTGAGGAACACACAGTTTATCCCGCCAGAACGCGATAGATACGGTCACGATGTTTATATATGAATGTCTTGGGCAAGCGTATCGTGTGGACACCGAGCAAGCCGAGCAGGGGTGTATGACAAAGATAATCTGCAGTAGTATCAGGGGCAGCAAGCAGACGCACATCAACAACACGGAGAGGAGGAGGACGAGGAGGAGGAGGAGAAGACCAGGGAACAGTCGCGAACATGGCGGAACGAAAGAACGTTCGGCCGCCGTGTATTAGGAGCATGCCCCGATTTTGTGGGGACAGGCCCGAGCGAATGAACCCTTTCGGTAGCCCTCATGGGGGTCATGTTGCAGCCATCCAGGGTCGTTTTGAGAGCCTCTTGGGTCGTCTCGCTGCAGTTTGGGGCTGTCTCGGGGCGCCGTTTGGCCGTCGTAGCGAGTTTGCGCGACACCGGCGTTCAGCAGGTAAGGCGCGAAACGAACACCCTTGAGATCCGACCGACGTTGCTCCGACATTACAAACCGAAGTGTAGCATTGCGAATCAACGCGGCCCGAATCCTCGAAGACGACCACGACGACGAGGACGATGAGGGCAACGACAAGGACGAGGAGAAGGAGGAGGAGGACAACGAAGACGAGGACGGAGACCTCAAACTCGCCTCTGGGAGCCCTCTTGGTACTCTTTGAGGGGATTTTGGGGTTTTCTGGGGGCTCTTCTGCGGGGTCTTGGGGCCCTCTTGGGGCCCTCTTGGGGCTCTCTTGGGGGCTTCTTGGGAGCCCTGGAGGGCCTTTTGGGGCTATCGTGGAAGGCGTCGTTGAAAAGAAAGGGTGTCATAACGTTTGGTACCCTCCCTGCAAGATCGCCTCTTGGGGCGCTCTTGGGCCGCTTTGGCGGATTTGGGCCACTTGGGGGGTCCTGAGGAGGCTCCGAGAGCACTTGGAACCGTCTTGCGGCCATCGTCGGGCCTCTTGGAGATATGTCGGAAGCTATCTTGAACCATCGTCGGCTATCTTGAGCCATCTTGAAAGCCATCTTGGAGCATCGGAGGCCTTCTCGGAGCCATCTTGGGCGCCCTAACTCGTCGCGACCCCCAGGCAACTTCAGAGGGGGAGGTACACCTCTAGGAAGGGAAGAGGTGTTTGAAAGAGGAAAGACATAATAACTCGTGAGACCATTTCAGCCCAAAGAGTTGGTGGGGTTCGGCAAGGCAATATTTTGCAAATCTGCCAAACACCTAATGGAAACGTGTGATCTTGACACTTGGAAGCCCTCTGTGGCTTCCTCCCGGGGCTGTTTTGGGCCTTCTTGGTTGCCTGCCTCTATGAGCCCACTTGACCTCTTCAGGTCGGCTTCGGGTCATCTTTGGCCGTATTATATCGGCGTTCCTAACGTTTTGACAATTCCAGCAGACGTGGGCCCCCTCCTCTCCTTAGAATCCGACAACACGGGGTCCAGCGGCGGCGGAGTAGGTTTCGCCCCCCCACACACACACACCCATGTTTTTTTCTGTTAATATGTAATCATTCCAATGTACAGGCTTACTCCGCACGTTTTCCCACGCGGAGAAACTTGGACCGCCGTCGGGAGTGAATTCACCCCGCTTGTGCTTGCTTCAGAAATAATGTACCTCAAGTCCTCCGAAACTCATTCCGCGTCGCTTCATCGCGACAGCGAGCGGTTTCTGAGCTCAGGGACACGCTGCCTCGATCCTTGTGGCAGGCTGGTCACAAACACCAGCAACAGGGCAGCATGGCCCTCCAGGACATTGCTGACGCGCTATCGAGTTCTCCTGGGCCAGATGAGTCCGCTGGCGCCGCTGGCCGGACCCCCCCCCTCCACATCGGTCGATCTGGACGCCCAGGGGTTGGCCTGTGGGGAGCGGCAGCCATCTCACACGCTGAGGGCCCCGAGGAGTCGACGAACTTTCAAACGGGAGCACTCGTTGTGAACCAAAACCTGGAGTCTCTCCTCTGCAAGCTTTGCTTCTGGAATTCATGTCTTATGTGCGCCAGACTCCGTCACGCGTCTAGAGCCTCTAGCTGCAAGGAGCAATATCAATATCAACACCTCCTTGGTTGCTTAATCATTCCGCGATGTTTGGTCATCAGCCCATGCCGAGTCTAGTTGCGAGTAATGACTCCGACACCCCAGGCACAGGCAGAAAGAAAGGGATTGGTTTTGCATGCCTCGGACGGGGCTGGGGCGAGGATGGATCCGTTTCAGAGCGTTCTGGAATGCTCCCAGAGCGTTCCGGCTCTGAGAAGGCCGCGGCGCCGGAGACATTTTCCAGAGCCACGGGATCTCACAGATTCTCGATTCATCCTCGCCCGAACTTGTCCTGGTCCTGGCTTCGTCGTGAGCTCCTCTGTCCACATATCTCGAGTCGGGGATCGACTACAGAATTGATTTGCTCAGAAATGATTTCCCCGCCGAACCATGAGAAAAATACGCAGAGTAGTTAGCAGATCTGCGGAGCACTCTCAGTGAGTGTTCGTAGCCTCGACGGGAAATCAATTGTAGGATAAATGGATTCTGTAGTCGATCCCCTACTCGAGCAGCCCGCGGCCCAGCCCGCGGCCCGGCCCGCGGCCCGGCACCCGGCGGTGAACCTGCGGCCCGCCGCCCCTCGGGCCCGCCCGCCAACCCGCCCCGCGAGCTGGCCCGCAGCTCACCCGCGAGGTCCGCCCGGCGACCCCGCCCGCGCTCCGCCGTGCGGCCCACGCGCGCCGTGGTCCGCGCCCGCCGTGGCCCTCAGGGGGGAGGGGGGAAGGGGCGAGGAGAAGGGGGAGGGGGGGACGAGGGGGAGGGCGAGGAGAGGAGCACGAGGAGGGGGAGGCGGGCGAGCGACGGAGGGCGAGGAGTGCGGGGAGGGGAGGAGCGAGGAGGGGGGGGACGAGCCTTGCCGGCCGAGAGCTGTGCAGCATGAAAGACCCTTCGCGGGTACCGATGCCGCTACCCTTGCCCGCTGTCCTGGGAAGCCTTCGTCGCCACTTTGGATTCGCCTCGAGATCCAGGGAGTAGCGGTATCGGTGCCCTCTGAGTTTTCCCGGACCCACCCGAAAACGGCCCGCACATCCCTGAGAGATGAATGGCATCTGCGCGCCGGGCTGTTTTGCGTCGGTTCTCCGACCGCGGCGTGGTTCCGTGCCGCTGCGACCAAACAAATGGTTGCGTTGGCTCCGGAGAGCACCATGCTGCCTCAATCTCACGCTCGGGCCCTGTGGGGGTGTCGAACACGTATGTGCAGTCAATGCCCAGCAGATAAGCCCAGCGCGTGTCTACCATATCGGACCGCTGCGCGAGGCTGGTCAAGATCCCATAGTCCACCATTGCCACGTTTAGCTCATAAGCCTCCTCCCACTGCTTTTCCCGCCTTGCTGTCCTCCCCAAGCCCCATCGTATTCATCTCCTGTCTCCTCTCTCATCTGGCTCCATCCTCCTTCCTGGCTCTCTCCCTTTTGTTCTTTTTCCCGTTTCTCCCCTTTGTGCCTCCAGCCTCTTCCCTCCCCTCTCATTCCGCCTCTGCCTCGTCCCTCCCTCCCTCCTTCTCCTCTTGCTGCTGCTGCTCTTGCTCCTCCTCCTCCTCCTCCTCCTCCTTGTCTCCCCGCCCCTTCCTTGACCTCCACCCCCTCTCTCCCAGCTCCCCGTCCTCTTTCGCCCGCAACTCCCCCCACGTCATCCTTCCTCCTCCTCTCCCCCCTCGAAGCCAACCTCCAGATCTTTCCAGTGGGGAGGTCTGGGGGTCGGCTTCGACACCCAGACCTGCCTGGGGATCGGCTTCATGTCAGGACGCCACTGCATTGTGGGGAGTCCCCACAGTGGCGCCCCGACACGAAGCTCGAGGGGTATGCAGCCGCGGCGGCGGGGAGCCCCTCGGATCCCCAGGGGCCAGCGACGAAAGCCGCCCAGAGGCCGTGATTCTCGATCACCTCCTCCTCCTCCTCCTCCTCCTCGTCCTATTCCTCCTCGTCCTCCTCCTCCTCCTGCTCCTCCACCTCCTCTTCCTCATCCTTCTCTTCCTCCCCCCCTTTCTCCTCCTCCTCCTCCTCCTCCTCCTCCTCCTCCTCCTCCTCTTCATCCTCATCCTCATCCTCATCCTCATCCTCCTCATCCTCATCCTCCCTCGCGCTTCGGGGCCCGCCTTCGGGGCCAGTGGGGTACCCCCCTCCAGCTGAAGGCACCCTTTTAGGTATTGGATTCCGCGGGTGTGCGCTCACGCAGGTACTAGCATCAATGCCTTTTCGAGGGCATCCAGTCTTGTTATCCTCTGTCTGACCTGGTTTCGGCCACGCGACCCGGACAGCACATGAC